ACAAAGAGGCACATCGACGTTTGTCACATGGATTTCTTTCTTTTCCAACTACCAACTATAGTGGAACTGAAATGTCCAGCACTTAACAACAATTTAAAATAAAAAATCGTACTTTCTGATAGAAACGAAGGTGAGCAGCAACTCTTCAGAGGCAGGAAAACATTACAGTGGGTGGATAATGAAAACAGTTTAATTAATCCTTAATCACAGATAAAGGTCTTTAAACTCCTATACACTCACAGGGCTTTCCTGCTTGGAACGGGTGTTTGATGGTGTCAACAGTCTCCCTGTTATTTGTGGCTAGTAATAAAGAGACTGCACATAAACCCCACATATACAAAACACTTAGCTGTGGTCCATCTTTGGCAATTATTGTAAATATTACAAGAATCACTTTCGTTGTCATACAGAATCCAAGAGGTTAAAATGAAAAGGTGAAATCTGACCGATTTACAACTTAAAGCACTCAGAAATATTGTGTTTTACATCTGATTGCCTCAAGGCCTTATGACATCCTCCACACTGTGCACTTGAACATATAAAAATTATGAGCACCTCTTTCATTGACTTTGGAATATTTTATCAACTTTTTTTGCATCTGTGGTGTTCCTGGTCAAATGTTACCGCCATAGGAAATGAATGGGAATCCACTCAACAACCACAGCCCCCCCTCCAGCCACCCCCCACCGGCCCGTGACCGGCCCACTGAAGGACCAAATGAAAGACCCACTTTACGACCTACTGAACAACCCACTGAACTGCATTAAGTGGTGAAAAATGTTTGTTGTGCTAATTTAAGACCTGTTAAAACAAGATTGGTCAATTTTGACCGGAAGACTAAAGTAAGGGGGGTGGGGGTGCACAGAATTGGAGGGTTTAATATTAAAAAGCTGAAGAACATCATTATTAGTTGATTACTGATTAAAAAAATGCTAGTTTTCATCTTTGCTGTCTCTAGTAAGCTTTTTTCTCATAAATTTATGACCAATAAATCCCCCCCAAAAAAATCGCACATATACAAACTGAAAAAAGCAGACCTACACTTGAGACAGGTTAAATCCTACCATTAAAACCACCTGTAGCATCTGCACTCATTTTGGACCTTAGACAGTACAAAAGTTGGACTCAAAACAAACAAACAATGCAGCTAAGCTGTCCAAGTTACGGCTGTTCTGCAGTTTTATGTGACATTATGAATATTTTTGGTATATTATTTGTATCTACCATTAATCACAATTAACAGCCAAAGCAACTGTTCCTTAACCACCCAACTTCCCAAAGTTCAACATGCTCCTCATAACTGTAGGGAGTAATTACAGCCAGTCGTCCACCCACTAAACACTGTTCCTACAGTATGTTTAAGGTGCAGGACGTGCTGCTGCAGAGCTCACAGTTACACAACATGCAGCTCGAGGCTAAACTCTGGAAAGACATAATGAAAATCAGACAGGTTTACTGAAGGAGCTGAAAGTTACATCTGCAGGCCATCATAGAGCACAGAAAACTACAACTGAATACCGTCACACACAAATATCGGGCCCTGGAGGGAAAACTGTTACTTCCAAACACACCCCTAATGACTGTTATCCAACTTTAACCTGACATGGTATAAGATAGTGACACACACTGTCAATCCTGAGATCAAATCCAGAAGTTAGTGAAGAGACTTGATTATAAAAGGACTTAAAGGTTAAGCATTCAATAAAATAAAATGTCAGGAGTTTGTTTTTGTCTTTTATGAGAGAAACTAAATCCCTGCATGGCTTCCAAAAGTCCATTTACTGCTACAAGTATCAATGAGAAAAGTTGTATAATTACCTATATTACTCATAACTAAATTTATTTTTTAAAAATAAGAAAACACGCACATAAATTCAGACTTGTGAAAGCTTTATTCCATTTCTTAAAACCAAAGTGAGAGAGGCGCACGAGGCTAATTTCAGCGTAAGCTAGCAAGAGTTAGCCAAACCGCCAAATCCGTTAAACAACCGTTTGAATTACGAACTTCCGGTCAGGACTCTATCAGGCAGAAAACACACAAAAAATCTTCACCTCACCGCCACTGAGGAGCTGTCTCCATATTTAAGGACATACCCATCCTCCATTTAGGCTAACAAGTTAGCTAACAGGTGTGGCTAATGTCAGGGAGTCAGGTTCAGCTTGAAACCGGCCCTGGTGCGCGGTATCCGGTTGTGTATGTGTGTGTGTCCACACTCACCACTGTTTGGAGTTCTTCCTTCAGCCAGGATTCAGGAACATTGTTGTCCTGCTTCAGTGCTTTATCACAAATCATCCTTCCAAATATATCCACAGGAGGCCTACTTTCACCCCTTCACCTGCATGGCGTGTGCACTGTGCGTGCTCGCTCCACAGCGCCCTCTGCAGTCACGCAGCGTGCTGTGCTGAGCTGCATGTTTCAAGTAAAGGAAGAGCCAGGGTACAAACAGCTGAATTCAAATACCATGCACACCGTGCTTATTAATGCTACTCTCCATGAACTGTGTACCACAGAAACTACCAAAGACAGATTTTCACTTTAAATTGGATGAAACAAGATGTCACATGTCATATCAAGCTCATGTTAAAATAATAAACAAAGCCTGCTTTACATGATCAAATAGACTTTTCTGCTTATTTAAAGTAGGGAATAGATTTGATGGATATAAAAAGTAAGACTGTTGAAAAACACAACAATTCTGTTGTGTTTTTGTGCTTATTTAAATAGTTTTGTGAATTTTGTGAAATCGGCTGATATTTTCTGTTTGACTTTGTAAAAAGGTTGAAATCATATTTATGTTAGTTCAACTCAAATTCAAATTTGAACTTTTCCTTTTTAGGCTACAGGACTGAATAAAAACAAGCTGTTCTAACTTTAAATTTAAATTTCACATTTTTTAATTTTATCTGTTTGTAGTTTTTGCTGCACGTTAAATGACGTCTGCAGAGGTGAACTACAAAGCGAGCTGCATTCAGAGATAATCTGATTATCAGTCTCCTCGTCAAGACCTTGTTTGTGTACATACCAGCAGATCTGGCAGCAAATCAGGAACAACAAAAGTAAAGAGAAATATTTGTACAGTTTCAGCACGGCCAGATGAATGCATGTCGGATCTTGTTTCAACATGATGCATACAGTGCGTGCTGTAAGGCTTTGTTCAGAAGCATTGATAACATACAGCTCAACGGGTTTACATTTACACACAGCCCCTGGCTTGTTACAGCTATAACAAGCCAGGTATTTAACTTGGTAAATACCTGGCTCTGGTATTTAACTCTGACGCTTTTAAATGTTGAAAATACTCCTGAACCTTCTGAAATTAACAAAAGTTGTCGGCCCAATCTGAAGAAACAAAAACTATGAGTTTAACTGCCAAAAATATCTACTGTGTATTGTCCTGAAGAGATACCGACAGAAGCTAAAGAAGGGCTGAACTGTACTATGAGTGTAATACGAGTTTGTACCACAAGATGGTGCTGTGAGTGAACACAGCTTTATTTTAAATGGAAGGTCAGGAGTTGGAAGTTTCATACAAAGTACAAATGAGTTCATTTTCATGTGCTGCAGTCTAGCACACACTCTGTCTACCAGCTTAGGGTATGTGGCTGTATTTTAAAGAGAGGGGATGTTTGTCTTCTTTGCATCCATCATAGTAAAAGTCCTGCAAATGAAAAATCCTTCACAAGACCAGAGGTATTCTAAACCTACCGAGCGACATTAATGATGAAAATGTCAGAAGTAAAAAACTTCCCAGAGTATCGAATGTTTTACTGCTGTAACTGAAACCAGCAGAAAGAACATAAAGCACTGAAACTCTGGGGTGGAGCCGACTTTTAGTCCAGCACTGCACCGTTTGAGAACACTTCAAATTATGTTCACTTTACTAACATTTATTTTAGGGATGTCTGATATTCTGAAGGAGAACTGTAAAATAAATGTCAAGTAAAAATATAATATTTCGTCTTAAATGAGATGGAGCAGAAGGATAAAGTAGAATAAATTACTGTGTATTGTAGTATTTCTGTGCACTGCTAAGGTACATTACAGTGTACAGGTGTAGTTTAAAAACATCTGTCCACTGATTGGTGGTTGCATTCTGAGGGCATTTTAGGTTCTGTTACTCTGCACAGTCTTGAGTAACAGTATCAGACGTAATGAAGCAACGTTTCCCTCAGGCATTAAAAGTAAAGCATCAAAAGAGTAAAGCAGGTAGAATAAAGAAGCACGGAGACAGGTGGGCTCATTCAGAAAAACACTCCTCACATTTATTGACTCTTGGAACTCTGGGCCGAAGTCAAAGCTAACACACATTTGGCACAAAGACAGACACGATTCATTGGATTTTTCCAAACAACGGCCCGAATCACAGGCCAAACAGACGAAGACCTGCCGCTGTGCAGAACGTTCTCCCGTCTCAGAGATTCAGGCATCACTGCGGCAACGATCGACTGGACACGGCGAGGTCATCCCCTCGCATCCACCGCATCAGCTCCAGGTTCAAGTATGTTTACAGTGCGAAGACCTCTCTACAAGCAGCGACGTGTTTGCTGTTATCACGGCTACACCACGAGGCAATAGCAGAGACGAAGCAGATCACAGCAGCCTGCTGCAGCCACTCAGCGTGCACTTCACTCCGTCTCAATTCAGGTCTTTGCACTTCAGTTATTTACACATGCGCTGCTACTTTGTGTTAGCGTTTTCAAGGGGTAGCTTCAGCCTAACATGCAACGAGGAAGGAAAAAGAACAGAAGAAAGACCAAAATGTCTAAGTGATCATTAATACTTTGTATGGTTTGTGCTTGGGGTGCCAACTTTACCTGTGTGAAGTTACAAAAACAGGATACCACAAAAAA